TGGGAAAATTGGTTAGCCACAGGCCAAAAAAAAAAAAGCAAAAAACACACTACTTCATAAAAGTTAATCCAGGGCCTGAAGAAATAAAAGTCAATTGGGTGCTTGCCTTGCATGTGATCAACCTAGGTAGAATCCCTAGCCTCTCATATGGTGCCCTGAGCCTAGTCACCACTAAGTGTGGCCCAAAACCAAAAGGAGAAAGTTAACTCAAAGAGAATTAAAAACCTTTGTGTTACAATCAAATCTATAAAAAAATAGCACTGTAGCACCGTCCTCCCATTATTCATTAATTTGCTCCAGCGGGCCCATAACGTCTCTATTGTGAGACATGTTGTTACTGTGTTTAGCATATCAAATACATCACAGGTAGCTTGCCAGGCTTTGCCATGCTGGCGAGATACTCTTGGTAGGTTGCCGGGCTCTCTGAGAGGGGTAGAGGAATCAAATCCGGGTTGGCCGTGTGCCAGGCAGAAGCCCTACCCACTGTGCTATCGCTCCAGCCCAATCTATAAAATGTATAGAAAAAAAACATAGAACACCAAATGATACCGACTTCAGGAGTTTTCAATGACTCAACTCTACTGGCAAACAAAAGAAAAACTGAACAAATGAAACTAAATGAATCTGAAGTTTTTGCACTACAAAATAAATTATGGCTAAAGTAGATAGGGAAGAGGCAGGGGACAGCACCAACCTGTGGCACAGTCACACTGCTTCTTTCCAAACCCTGAGAAATCCCCAGGTGAGCATCAACAACTGAGCAACCAAGGCAACTGCAGTCTGGCAGGGACAAGCCTCCCAGACTGAGAACAGCTCTATTTGGGCCTCCCAGAAGCGTTTGCTGCTGACGAGGCTGCACAATACTTCCCAATCCAAAACAAACACCAAGCACAGCTAGAATGAGCTCCAAGATGGGATACAGAAAACCTCTAGACACCAGCAGAAGATGGATAAAAGCCATCAGTAGACAACAGAACTTTGGATGAATTCAAGAACAACATATGAATCACTGGGGTCTTGGAGGCCCAGGAAGGGAATTCTGATGAAGAAGCAACCACCAAAGTCAAAGAACTCGTCTCTGAGAAGTCTCCAGTTTAGGAACACATGTACACAGACACTCCAAGACATATCCTAATCAGAAAAACAAAAACATAGAATACTGAAAGCAGCAAGATCAACAAAGGAAATTACATATAACGGAGCACCATTAAGATTTACAAAAGATTCATCAAATGAGACTCTGGGCCCAAAGACAATGCGGGGGGTGGGGTGGGGAGATAGTTAAAAGAAAAATTAAAAATGAAAGGAACATCTCACCAAGAATACTTCACCCAGCCTCATTCAGATTTGAGGGATCAATACAGAAGAATCAATACAGAAGGATAAACAATGGCTAAAGAACTTCATAAGCTCAAAACTAACTTTACAAGAACTGAAGGGGCTACTTTAGGACAAGACAAATCTCACCAACGTGCCAAACTTCTACAGAAAGACGGCACAAAACTCCATGATAATTTCACACAATGCCGATGGCCTAAATGCCCAATTAAAACAGAGTAATATAGTATTTCAAGCAAATATCCTCCACAAAAAGGCCAGGTGGCCAAACTTGTACCAAACAACACTGACTCAGGTCTCAAAAAGTTAATGGAGACAGTCATTTCTTAGTGATCAAAGGATATGCACATCAGGAAGAACTCCCATTCTTAATCATACATGGACCTAATGAGTTGGCAAAATACATAAAACTAACAAACTTTGGCTTACTGGCCATGATTCCAGAGACTCAGAAACAAATCTTGGAACCCTGGGGCTTTGGGCAGAAATGTGATCGGACTTAGGTTTCCAGTGCTGGACCACCGCAGATGGGAATAGGTTTTGTGCCTTGGCCTGTTCCCCCTGGTGGCTTGGTCATCGCCATCTTCCAGAAGCCTGTGGACAGCCAGGTAGGGGCCCACAGTGAAGAGAAACATGGGGCCTCATGGGATGGGGATGGAGCCAGTCCTCCCCCACCCCACGAGACCCAGAGTTGTTGCCCACAAACAAGCCCTCTGATTGAGGTGCTTATCGGCCATGATTCCAGAAACTCAGAAACAAATCTCAGAACCCAGCAGTTTGGGGCAGAAATCCCTAGAGATTTAATTATCAAAACTTCAGAGTTCCAAAATTGCTACTGCAGCCACAGGACATCATATGCAATTCATAACCAGCAATAGAAAACAAATGGTCTAATGTTGCCTTTTCGGCAGATTTGAGTGTTGGAATAAAATCCCAAGTAATTTTGGTGGGTCTGGTGTCGAAATATTGAATGTTATCAAATTAGAGAAATATGAAAATCGTCTGCCACACAGGTGGGGGGAGGGTGTGGAGTGGGGGGTATTCTGGGGTTTTTGGTAGTGGAAAATGCGCACTGGTGGTGAAGAGATGGGTGTTTCATCATTATATGACCGAGACTTAAACCCGAAAGCCTTGTAACTGCTCTCATGGTGATTCAATTAAAAAAAGAAAAAGAAAAAGAAAAAAGAAAAAAAAAACAGGCTTAAAGAAATTGACAGGAACACAGTAATAGTTTGAGACTACAACACCACTGTCATCTCTCCGTAGATCAACTAGACTAAGATTCAGCAAGGAAATGCTTGCTTTGAAAGAATAAACAAAATAGAAAGGTTTTGTAGGTATTTATAGGGCTTTTCATCCCTGAATAGCCAAATATACATTCTTCTCCAGTGCACATGGGACATTCTTCAAGAAAGGCCACATGCTGGGTCACAAGACATAACACCTCCAGAAAATCAAAAGCTAAAATCGTTATCAGCTATCTTCCTTGCAAAGATGTTTAACTCACACAAGTAATACACCACATAAATACATAACAAAAATTCTTATGTTTATAACAACAGATATGTAGAGAAATCATTTGACAAAATCCAGCACCAATTCATAATTAAAAACTCTCATTAAAATAAAAACTGAAGGAACTTTCCTCAACATAGTCAAAACCATTTACCACAAGCCCAGAAAATATACTCAATGGGGAATAAATAGTAAAGGCCTTCCCTCAGGCATGAGACAATGTTGCTCATTCTCACCACTTCTATTCAATACGGTACTGGAAGTACTTGCTATTAGCAATTAGGCAAGAAGTATTTGCTTTAGGCAAGAAAGATATTAAAGGCATCAACACATGGTGCTGGTAAAACTGGTCGGCCACATGCAAAAGTTGAACTCAAACCTCTGACACCACGCACAAAAGTCAAATCAAAATGGATTTAAGACTTTGATACAAGACCTGAATCCACAAAGTACATAAGGAAAATAGAACTCTCCATGATGATGAAGTGAGAGGTATCTTAAAGGATGAAAATCCACTAGCCAAGCAACTGGAAGTAAAGATAAACAAATGGAACTACAAATTAGGAAACATCTGTACTTCAAGGAAACCAAGTTCAGAATACAAAGATAGCCTAAAGACTAGGAGAAATTACTTACCTACCACTCATCTGATAAAGGATTAATATCCAAGGTACTTGAAGCTCTGATAAAATTTACAAGAAAAAAAAAATCAAACCACCTCAAAAAATTGCGAGATGAATAGAAACTTCCTCAAAGAAATACAAATGGCTGAAAGGCATAGATAAAATGCTCTGTATCACTCATCATCAGGGAAACGAAAATCAAAATGAGATATGACCTCAGATGAGATCGGCACTCAACAAAAATAAATGGATGTGGGGGGAATGGTACCCTCATTTAGGTCCATTGGGAATATCAATTGGCCTAATCTTTTTGGAAGACAACAAGGGAATTCCTCAAAAAATCAGAAATTGAACTTCCATAGAACCCAGCAATTCCAATCCTGAAAATAAATCCCAAAGGCCCAAAAACACTATGCAGAAAGACATCTGCAGGCCTATGTTCATTGCAGAACCATTTACAACAGCCAAAATCTGGAAACCCAGATGACTGAATAAAGCAGCTATGGGACTTATACACAATGGACTACTACTCAGCCATAACAAAAGGAAGTCATGCAATTTGCGGATACATGAATGGGCCAATAGAGTAGTTTGCTAAATGAGTGAGAGACGGACAGACACAGAATAATCTCATATTATGTGGGATATAAGAAAGGATAATACAGGAAGAACTAATGACCAAAGCCATACAAAGAGCAGGTAAGAATCTTGGTAAGAATCTTGCTACCAGAGAGGTGGAGGGACAGGTCAGGGAAGGCATTACAAGGACAGATGAAAATGGTCACTCTGTACGCGCGCGCTCTCTCTCTCTCTCTCTCTCTCTCTCTCTCTCTCTCTCTCTCACACACACACACACACACACACACACACACTGTATTTGCTATCCCATCAGTAGAACAAGAGGGTGAAATGTCAGAGAAAGATTAATAATTAATCATAAATGACTGTACTCATATCATATAAAGCAAGCAAGGGAATAGATAACAATAAATGAAAATAAATTCTTAGGACACTGAAATAAAAACTGAGGTTTATATGGGGCATGCAGTGAGGTGGAAGCAGACAGAAAAGGACCTATGCACCATGGAAAGAATTTGGTACTTTTGGTGTTTTGAGTGTGTTATGCTAAAAACACTGAAAATCTAAAACATCTACACCATGTAAAACCAATTACCTCAGTAAATATATAAACAAAAAACTTAGGTCTGACAAAGATTTCATTAATTTTAACCTAATTTTCATAAGTAGCCAATATGTCAATGAAAACAGGCATTTTTCCATTTTCAGGTTTAGCGTCAAAATACTAAAAACAGTAGACAATGCAATGTCAGTTTTCACTAATTTTGAATGCTCAACCTAGAGAGAAGATAGTAAAATCCTCCCTGTAGCATACAACAATTATAGTAAACGGATGCCTTTGAGTCAAGCATTGCCACCTTTAGTGTATTCTATTTTTACAGAAAATCATCACATCATTATTCTACCAAAAAATTATCATGTTATAATAAACAGACAAAAGACAAATCCAAGTACAATTTTTTAATAAAGATAATTACAAAAGATGGAAAAATCAGCTCAGAAAGGCCAATTACTTCTTTAATAGATCAGTTTTTTGACATAATAACTCACATCAATTTTAAATACTATCACATAAAGCATGGTGGAGAAAGAAAATTTTGCTTCATAATTAGAAAACTCACAATAAAACTTGCCAAGAAAAACAAAACAAAAAAGCCATTTTGAAAATAAATACAGTCCATGCCAAAATAGTATAAAATGAAGCCAGAAGTCCTCCAAAAAAAAAAAAAACCCAAGACATTTTCTTCCCAATAGTTTCACTTTCACTTTTTTATGGTTTCTGAAATTGATGAGACTCAAATTCAAGGGTTGTTAAGCTGTTCTGATTTGGCTCTGTTAAAAGAGGAATAAAGATTTAATGACATAATCTTAATTTAAATGCAATGAGCTATCAGATTTTGAAGATTAATGCAAATAAATACAGTGTTTGTATCTGTAACAACTGCTTTCATCTTTAGTCTAATGATTTTACAATTCACTTCAAGCTATCCTATATAATTTACTGTATTACTGTCATCTCGTTGATCTTCGATTTACTTGAACAGGCACCAGTAACACCTCTACTCCTCCCAGACCTGAGATTTTAGCAGCCTCTTCTTACTCGTCTTTTCCCAACAACTGGAGGCTCTTTCAGGGTCAGGGGAATGAGACCTATTGTTGTTACTATATTTAGCATATTGAATACACCATGGGAAGCTTGCCAGGTTCTGCCCGTGTGAGCGGGATACTCTCGGTAGCTTGCTTGGCTCTCCGAGACATAAATGGGTAGAAAGTGTCTTATAATGTGTTGCACAGCCTCAAAGAAGCCTGGAGCTTGGCCGTGGTTGGGCAGTGGACGTCGGCTGTCAGGGCTGGATCCCTTGGGGTGGGGAGGGCTCTCATTCGCCCCACAGCCTGGCGTGGAGTCCCATCCAATATAAAGACTACCAAAACTGTTTATAGCTGAGTATTTACAAATTTTCTTACAATAAAAATGTCGATGATGCTTTTACTTGTAAATGTTCCATTAGACCAGCATTTCTTAAACGTACCCATCTTATAATATTAGGAAAACCACATATATAAAGAGCACAAATATAGTTATAAGTGTGTTTAATTTAAAAATTATAAAATGAGAAATGTAATTTACCCTTTGGTATCTGTTTTTTCACCACTATTGTCCTTGGATTTATCTTCTTCCTTAACATCTAAAAGCAAAAATGATAGTAGTTAGAACCTATTTGGGAGTTGTATTTTAAAAAAATAAAATTTTACTTAGAATGTAAAAAGCTGTGATATACCATCATACTATCCTTGAATTAAATAACTAAAGCTACTTGTGTTGGGTGCTAAATGAGAATTTCAAGGCATCAAGAGAACAGTATTATACTTGGGGTATCGGATGTGGAAAATATAACATGTGCATAGCCTGGAGGGAGGTGTGGGAAGACTACCACACTTGAAAGGTTCCCTGACAACAACATGTTGACACTTAAACTGTAATTTAGGTTAATTAAATCTCATCTCTCGAGTGAGAGCCAATGATGTATCAGTATCAAAGCACTTTTTGGGTGGGAAAGGCAATAGTAAATATTTAGCCAACCGGGATGGTGGTTCAGTGATAGGGATAGAACACTGCTCTGCCACTTTGGTGCCCACCCCAGTGGTGTTCAGGGCTTTCAGTCATGTGCACTCCTGCACAAGCCCTAACTACCTCTGTACTATTCTCCCCTGCCCCCAAACATTACATTTTAGTTTAAAAAAAAAAAAAAAAGGACAGTAAAATAGTTAACATAGAAGTAAAACCGTGAACTTCAAATAGCTCAAGTATACTAACCCAAAATGTGAATGCTTTTTCTAAATAAGCAAATGAAAGCTGAGACAATAATAATAATAATAATAATAATAATTAAAAAAACAGCATGGAGCACTCTACATAAGCATTTCAAGGAGCTGGTCTAACTAGTAATTTTAAAACACATGTTAAGAATATGAACTGCATTGATTTCAATCTTTGACTTAATTTTGGACAAACAATTCAAAGTTCCATATGGAATCAGGAAGAAATGTGACTTTAAGTCTGTACCCATAGTTATAAAAATCTACAGTATTTCACTTTGTATTTTTATGCTCAGGGATTTTTAATCATTTCAAGAGCCCTATAAAAATCGGGGTCAGCAAGAGACTGGATTAGGGTGCTTGCCTTGCACATGGCTGATCGTGGCTTGACTCTGACATTGCATATGGTCTCCTAAGCACCAAACCATGAACAAGCCTGAGCACCACCTCACTTCCACACCTCTTAATAGAGCCAAATCTAAAAGTGCTTTCATTATAGCTAAAATAGCAGCAAAAGAATTTACGGGAGCCAAAGTGATAGTACAGCGTCTAGGGCGTTTGCCTTGCATGTGGCTGACCTGGATTCCATCCCCGGCATCCCATATGGTCCCCATATGGTCCCCCAAGCACTGCCAGGAGTAATTCCTGAGCACAGAGTCAGGAGTTACCCCTGAGCACTGCTGGGTATGACCCAAAAAAGAAAAAAAAGTATAAAAAATTCATGGAAATAGACATTTAAAAATAAGAACCCCAAAAGGTAACAGAGAAGACATAAACAGTAATAACGAGGAAAGAAAAAGAGAGGTAATAATGAGAGAAAAGAAAAATACCAGAACAATCCTACATCTAAGCTGAATCACCCTAACATCTCAGTGCGTAGGAGTAAACTGGAACCATCACTGTAATATACTGATAAGTTTGACTTATACAACACGAGCTAGATAGTCACCTACAGTGGTGTATTTTATTTTTATCAAATACAAATACCCAAGTTATAGAACAGAAATACATATGCTATAAATTCTTATCTTTATAGTCATGTTTATAGCTTAAAACACTTCAATGTGAGAGAATCTGTTTTTCACAAATTATAGGATCAACATAAAGACAACCAAGACTTGTATTTATAACAATTTTTGCATATAGATATCACGTATCTATCAAGAAAGATACAAAGTACTAATAATACAGACAAGTTAAGTTTCAAGATAAATTTAAGATATTATGCCCCTATCCTTCCCCTATCCCAGGCAAGGGGAACTCAATCTAATAGTAAGATATAAAATCCCTTTAAGTGCTACAACATACTGTCTTAAATAAATAAATGCACCTCCCCCCACCCCTGGCCCGACACACACACCAGGGAACAGAAAAAAATGAACAGATAAAAGTAGCAAATTTATACAGTCCAAAAGATCTATTTTTAAACACATTAAGCTGATAAAGGTGGCAATTTAAAAAAAAACTATGTATTATCTCTTGTCTCAACCTAGCTCCCAAATCTCTCTCTATTTTGCCTGTTTTCTTCAATTTCAATAGTCTGTTTTGAGCCTTTTCAAAATGGTCAAGCTGGTGTTGGTATAAAAACTTCATTCTTTTTTGTATTTTATTTTTATCAAATAAACTTTAGGAAGTTAAACATCCCTTAGAATCTGAATTCTACTTAAGAGACCACAAATGGTTTAATAATACTCCGTACGTTATTACCCAGTCAATACCACAGCACCATGCCCCTTTAGGCCCGTATGACAAGGTAAAATTGTTTCCTGTATTATGAGTAAGTGTGAGTGGCTTCCGGTATGAGAAAATGTTAACATTCAGAGCTCCAAATTAAAAAAAAATTAAGAGCAAAGTCATCAGTTGCATGAAAAACTCAGATATTCAGTATTATCTACCCTGTAGATAATCCTCAAATCCTCAAGCCAGGGGCAGGTGGGTTGGGGTGCGCCACAATTAGCAGGGTTTAGAGGCTTGGGTGACCTGAGACTCCTGCATGTGAAATATGCACTCCAGTGCTTCACTCTATTGCCCACCATCTACCCTCTTCAACACTTCACTGAAGAGCCCCATAAAGGGGCTAGAGACAGTACAGATCGTAAGGCACTTGTCATGCTTAATGTCTAGCATCATAAATGGGCCTTGAAGCTCTGCCAAAAATGATCCCTGAGCATTGAGCCAGGAGTAAGCCTGGTGTAGCCCCCCCCCCTTTTTTTTTGCTTAATTGGGTCACACTGGCAATGCACAGGGGATACTCCTGGCTCTGCACTCAGGAATTACTCCTGGCGGTGCTCGGGGAACCATATGAGATGCTGGGAATCGAACCCAGGTCGGTCATGTGCAAGGCAAACACCCTACCTGCTGTGCTATCGCTCCAGTACAGGCCCAAAATATTTTTATAAAACAAAAATAATCCCATAAAAACTGCTTAAAAAAACTTACATTAAAATACATTTACCAATAATCAAATCTGACCTGCTTTTTTGTCTTCTGTTTCTTTCTTATCTTCTTCAATTCTGGCTTTCTTTGCTCCTTTCTTGTGATCTGCCACATTTCTACGACCTCCTTCTCCTTCATCCTCAGAGTCTGAGAATTCTTCATCACAGGCTATTCGTTTGTCTGATGCCCGAACTAGTATTTTAATTAAAATATTGAAAAAAGCAGTCACAGATCTTCTTAACAAACATATACACTCATGCAGTAACTAGTCACCACAGTAATGATCTTCAGATTAGAACAGAACACATGGTTTACTGAATACTGAAAACTTAGATCTGGTTTAGGAAGAATTCAAAGACACATATAAAACATTTCAGCATCTCAGTTAAAACCATACAAGGTCACAGGACTCAACAGCACCATATCCTTGGGCCTCTCACATTGAACTACCAATCCACATAGGCTGGTAACTGCCGGAGGACACCCCCTCATACCTCCCTCACCCAAATCTTACAAGGAAGAAATAGTTGAAGACAAGGTTTCGGTTTTTTTTTTTATCTAAAATGCAGATTTTTTTTTTTTTTTTTTTGCTTTATGAGTAACACCCAGCGATGGCACCCTGGATTTGCACTCAGGAATCACTCTTGGCGGGGCTAAGGGGACTATATGGGATGCTGGGAATCGAACCCGGGTCAGCCGCGTACAAGGCAAATGTCCTCCCTGCTGTGCTATCACTCCAGCCCCTAAAATGCAGACTTTTTCTCACACACACACATACACACCAGCAACATCAAATATATTAGAACATCTATGATAGCATTACATACCATTATGCTAGAAATCTAACACTTGTAGCACTGTAGCACTGCCCTCCCATTGTTCATCAATTTGCTGGAGCGGGCACCAGTAACATCTCACAACAAATTGTGAGACTTGTTACTCATTTTGGCATATCAAATATGCCACAGGGAGCTTGTCAGCTTTGCCGTGAAGGCGAGATACTCTCGGTATCTTGCTGGGCTCTCCGAGATGAGCGGAGGAATCGAACCCCGGTCAGCCCTGTGCAAAGCAAACACCCTACCCACTGTGCTATCGCTCCAGCCCAAATCTAACAATTATATTGGTTAACTGAAATGGTAAAATCAAGTACAAGGTAATTTTTCAGTTCTCTGAAATAAATGGCATTATTTTCTTTACTCCTAAACATGAGTTGCCTAAGTTGTAAATTTACATAAATTTGTCATACATATGAAGTCCTCTGAACTGAAACTGCCCTAACTTTCTCAATCCAATCAAGACTTGAGACTTCAAAGAATTTAAACCCATTAAAAATTTAATTAGAGAGAAAAAAAAAGAAATAACAGAGTGCTTAAGATGTATAGAGAAGTTCCTAGGTAACTAAAACCTTCAACTGGTCATATTTTTTTAAAAAAAATAACCCCCTCCTCAAAAAAAGAAAAAAACCCACAAATCAAGGCATTATCTTACTAGAAATTCTCTTATCTGGATCTTCTCCATCTTCGTCTCCACTATCTTCATGAACAGCATCTTCTGGGATAGCTTGCATTTGAACGCCAGGTGCATGAGGTAACATGCGTAAATTTTCAAATAAACGCTGTCTAAATCACAAAAACAAAGTTATCAGGCAAGTTATTTTTTCCAAGTTCTTCTCATATATAAGAAAATTAGTGTTTTGGGGGCTTTTGACCACACCCTGTGGTGCTCAGCAGGACCATATGCAATGCTGGAAATTGAATTGGGATCCCCTATAAAGCTCTCCAGTGCTAGATAAATATTCTTAATATAACATCTTTTCTCTAGAGCACTGTTTCCTAAAGTGGGTAATAGCACCCTCTTAAAAGATCTCTCTCCTCCCCCCTCCATCTCTCTCTCTCCTCTTTGCGTTTAGGGTCATACTGAAGATGCACAGGGGTTATTCCTGGCAGTGCTTGGGGGAACATATGGGATGTCGGGGATTGAACCCAGGTTGCCCACATGCAAGGCAAACACCCCACCCACTGTGCTATCCCACCAGCCCCTGAAAGGCACTTTAGAAGAGAGTGGGTGATTTTTTGTTTTCCTTAAAAGTGGGTATTAGGTTGAATTAACCTTGGAAACTCAGTTCTAGCTTAACTTCTAAGTTCTGGGTTAACATTTACTGCATTGCAGATCAGTAAATACAAGCATGGGAGCTAAAATACACTTGCGAGGTGTGACACATGTAGGGTACAGTGGAGTCAGGATGTCAACCCAGGAACCTATGTCTCTATAAATGTCCCTCTAAACCATTCTGTTCTTAAATATATAGCTTTATTAAAATGTTTGAGGCAGTGCAAAAAAATGTAAAATTTTATAATGCTGCGTGCAACTTAAAAACCCGTTTTAACAGAAAAAAATTACTTAAGACTATGAATGCTTCTAAATGTACACCAAGATGTTTAAAAAAACAATGATGCCTTACTTTATCTTTTCCATATACTCTGGAGTGTTCTGGTTTGTCATATTTGAGGGACTAATATGAAGTTTGAAGTCCGGTCCGAAATACTCAAAATAATCATTATATGGCAATTCTGTTGAAAAAAAAAGGGAAGGGGGATCAAAATTAGTTAACCAACCATGCTTCTCTTTACACATTTTGGAATCTACACTAAACATAAGATATCTATTTTATATTTTGACAATGAACACTCACCATTGGGAATTTCACAATCAAGGGCAACTGCAGTCTCGTATGTCCAACATCGAGCAACATTACGAATTGTGTATCCACCTCCCCCAAGCATCAGTAATGGTAAATTGAAAGTTTTTACAACTTCAACACACTTAGCATGTCCTAAAACAGATAAAGATATGAAAGAATTTGCGTATCATAAAGATAGTACTAGCATTCATCAAAATGGATTCTCTAAGTAATTTTTAAGAATGTTAATTCCTGATCTAAAGTTTAGCAAACATAATAAACAATCTATTTTATCAAGTGTCCCTGATAGAAAGTCAAATGCACACCGAAGAATAAATATAACTGTTTTGTTTTGGGACCACACCCAGGCAGTGCTTCAAGTGCTTACTCCTTGGCTCTCTGCTTCGGGATCACTCATGGTGGGTTTTGGGGTATCATATGAGTTGCCAAGGATCAAACCCAGGTCGACTTTTTAATTATTTAAACCCTGGGATGCTTAAGTGGGGGATACATAGGAGGAAAAGGTCAAGTTACAATAAATCGTTATACACCTACAGTTTGGCTTATTACCACTTTTCCCAAAGACCTAGAGGGAATTTTAACAAAAAGCTTTTGAAAGTCAGTTCAAACAGGAGCCAGAGTGGTAGGTAGTACAGTGGGTAGGGCGTTCATGCAGTCAATCAGGTTCAATCCCTAAACAGCCAGGAGTAAGGCCTGTGCACTGACAGGTGTAGTACCAAAACAAACAAAAAGAAAGGCATATAGATTAGCTATAGATTATTTTTAAGGTAATGGTGCTATGAAAACATCTGCTCATCTAAGATTATAAAATTATCAGAATTCTGAAAGTTTCATCCAATTTTTCTGAGTATGAAAGAAATTTCATACTCAAAAACAAATTTGAAAGAAATTAGAAATTTCACACTAAAAAATAAATTTGAGGATGAAACAAATCTGTTCTTTAAGTGTCATAGTTAAATAGTCATGTTATAGTTACTAACTACTTCATCCCAAAAACTGACAAAAATGACCCATAAAAGTATGTTTTAAAGACTAAAATCTATAAAAAAGTCAATAAAGGCAGTAGGAAGGCGATAGATAAGAGGTACTTGTTGACTTTAACCATAGAAAACAAAATTTAAGTTGGCAGTGGAGCAAGCTAGATCATGTTGAATATGTGCAATCATAAATATATTCTTCATATAACTATAGTTGTCAGCCAGCTGAAATATAATGTAAATGTGCAGTTTGTATTTATGAAAGCTGTTATTTTAAAGGAACAATTATTTTCACATGATCCAACCAAATAAATGCAGAATTAACAGATTTTTCCATAATTCTAATGCTGTTCATTACAGAGCAATCCTATATAGTAATTATACCTGGGTAAACGCAGCTATTATGGAAAAAGTTCTACTTGAGAATCCACCTAAGAATCAAATAATAACTTGCTTCTTAACAAGTTTACAAGGAAAACATCCCAAATTACATATAATATCCATGATAAATCAATACTAATCCACATAAAAACAAAATCTATTAAATAAAACTTTCACTGTATACACTAGCAGATTATTCTGAAATGTACTTTGGTTGTGGACATCTATTACATGTTATTTCAACGTATGAACAAAATATAGGTACTTGGTAGAACTTTCAACCTCACTTAGCTTTTCTAGGAAGCTTCTTAAAGACATCTCCCAAACGAGACAAAATTAAGAAAAACCCAGAAAAAAAGAGCAGTGAGAGTAATCAATACAACAAGAGAAGCAAAGAATAACTCTATAATTACTAGGTTATCCATCTACCAAGTCTAAGAAGTAAAATGCTGTTTCTCCAAGAAGACTACAATTGAAAAAACACAAGACCCTGGATGCACAGGAACATAAAAAGCTATGCAGACATTAAGAATTTATAGTAAGTTAACTTAAATAAAAACTGATAGGAAAAACAAGTCATGCAAAAAAAAAAAAAACTTACAAACACTGAAAAGTGTTTTAGTGCTACTGGCTGATACTGTAACCACAGAACACCACAATCAAAATTCTGGTGCAACTAAACTAAAAATGGAAGGCAGTAGCTGAAGACAAAGTGGCCTAACAAGGCTAAAATGTCCTTCTTCAATAATGAAATTATCACTGTCATCTCTTTGTTCGTCGAGTTACTCGAGCGGATACCAGTAATGTCTCTATTCCTCCCAGCCCTGAGATTTTGCAGCCTCTCCTTATTGGTATTTCCCAACCACTGGAAGCTCTTTCAGGGTCAGGGGAATGAGACCTGTTATCATTAACTGTTTTTGGCATATGGAATACGCCACGAGGAGATTGCTAGGCTCTGCCAGAGCGGGAGGGATACTCTCGGTAGCTTGCCGGGCTCTCTGATATATCATAGAGAGAAATATATATATATATATTTCTATATAAATATATATGCAGTCGAGTTTCCCACATTTGGGGAAATCGCAGGGGTCAGCACATCCGGAGTGCAATGGATAAGCCTCGCCCTGGGAAAACCACCTTCGTGATCATGGTGTCTCCCCTGCCAGGTAAGTATATATATATATATAAATATATATTTCTCTCTATGATTTGTTACCTAATGTCTGAAACCCATCAAATATGGTGTGGTAATTATGGAAAATGGATAGGAAGTTTTTTATATCCGAACAGCAGCTTGGAGTGTGGCAGCGGTTGGGTAGTGAAGGTCAGTTGCCGGGGCCGGGTCCCTTGGGGTGGGGAGGGCTCTCACCCGTCCTAACCTGGGGCGCCCTGAGTGAAAACAGCCTGGTGTGGAGTCCCAGAAGTAAATATACAGAGATAAAATAAAAGCAGTAGTAAATTTTCATGCTATCTAGAGAATGATCAAATTATTAATAAGGTCGAAAATATTATGACTGGAACTTTAATGAGACTTATAAGAGTATTCACATATGAATACACACATACATGCATTTGACAAGTAATTTACTAAGACAAGATTGCCAATAAAAGTAAAATCTATTCCAAACACAAACCATATACAAAACATATGGTTGTGTGTTCAAAGAGACCAAAAAAATTACAAGTATCATCAAATGTTCTTGGGTGGAGAAATTTTTTTCTGATAGTATCACCTTTTACATCACTTACCTTTGACAGTCAGATTGAAGCAACCAAGTCTATCACCAGATAGTGAGTCTGCACCACACTGTAACACCACAGCACTAGGTTGATACATCTCCATAACCTTTGAGATGATCTATGTTCAATAATAATAGATAACAAATGTTAGTATCTCTAGAAACAATTTAAAATTTCATTTTGAAAAATGGAACATTATTTAAAAAAGTACTTACAGGCTTAAATATCTGTCCATATGACTCATCATCTATACCATCTCTCATTGGGAAATTAACAGCATAGTATTTGCCTTTTCCTGCACCAATATCCTAAAATGCAGTTTTAAATGTTAGTGCAATATTTCACAGTAAAATCTAACTTATTTGTTAAAATATTTTTAAAGAATAAAAGACTAGGAAATAATATTCAACTATGAATCCATCTCTAGGCTGGGAAAGAAAATATACAAGTTGATATTTACGAATTTCTTATGAATATCCAAGTGCCCTGTAATGATTAATTGGGTAAAGAAAAAAAATGACAATGAAAGACAATATAAAGTTGCATTTTGTATTAGTACAAAATATTCATTCGGTACTGTAAGATAACACTGTTCTGTCCTTCCTGCATAACCTCAGGAATAGTTGATATCTGATAGTTCCTTAAGAGGTAGTTTGCCCTTGGGCAGTCAGGAAGGGCTTTAGAATTACCTTTTAGATGGGCCCTCTGGAAGGGCTTTCTTATGTTGATTTGGCGACCAGAGGGGGTGGAGTGTCAGCCCAGACAAGAGGGCTGAAAGATGGACTACTGAGAGACTAGCAAGGGGAACGTGTGCTTGAGAGAACCTAGGCCCTCCATAACGTAAGTTCTTCTATGGGAAAAACTTCCTTGTAATAAACTGCCACTAAGATCAACCAGCCTGGCCCTCATCTCTTCCTTCATCTGCCCTTGGCCAACAGCCGTCCAGATGCAGGCCACACACAGCGGCTCTAGGGCACCAAACGCGGGCTGTGAAATAGAGCTGTCCAGAGAGCCCGCGAACACACAACCTTCAGCGTGCATAGTTTTTTACACAGTACAACATCTGGCAACTAAATAAGAAATACTATTGAAAACATACATGTTATGTCAAAGAATCCAGCAAGACAATTGTCACTGTGGTCAATGTGTAATTCACAATCTGGCAGGTTTCTTTATGAAGGAGAAGCTTAGATTTTTGAAGTTTTACTGCTTACAGACTACAGCACTGAAATCTTATCTTTAATTGAACTCATAACAAATATTTCTACCTGCTGAGTCAATTCATTCTAGGTAGATATTAGAGCTCTGCAAGCACTAGGTCATGAGTTCAAAGACCAGGAAAACCCTAACTGCTCTGCTATACGTGATTCCAGTAAGAAAAGGGAGAAAAGAACAGGAGGACGGGTCAATGCCTTAAAAAACAAAAACAAACTTACAACGGAGAAATGCAGTATAGGTTCTACATACACATACGTTTTTATAGAACTGTTATATGTGTGGATATATAAAAACAAAAAAATATATAATTAACATCCCTAATTATCTGAAAGAAATCTCAGTCCTTATACATAACTAAATACATTTGTATAGAATATACAAAAGTGGATAAACTAAAATACTGTGTGAATCCTTATACTGTTCAATGAAAAATACAGCTGGAATGTACTTTAACACTAAGACTCAGAATATAGACATTTTGTCAGCTTTTACCTAAGCTAGATGCTGGAAATTAACTTTATATTTGGGGAGAGGGGTTTGAGAAGGATTTGAGAGGGTTCAAACCTCAGAGTGCTCACAGCTTACTACTGACTGTGCTCAGGCGACCCTATGCAGTGCCAGAGATTTAACCAGGGTTAGTTGTGTGGGAAGAAAGTACTTAAATCCCTCCTATCTTATCTCTCCAGCCCTCCATTCCATCACTCATTCCAAACTATTACTTTATTACACTGATTCCATTCCCTCTATAGCACTGATGCAACTGATCTAAGATCAGAGGAATCTTCTTGTCTGATTTCAATGAATTGCCAATTCAGACAACAAAATTGCACTCTAAGAAAACGTCAACTGAAATTATTCATGATGACTGATATAAACTTCTTCACAAAATTTAAGAAGACATGCCTTTATAATATCAAAAAAAAGAATTATAATAGCATTTTATACATTGGAAGTAAAATCTTAACTGATGAAAGTCCTTATCCAATCTTTAAAACCACATTCTCTTAGTATTTTTCAGTCTCAGAAAATAAAGCTGTCAAAGGTCTCCATCTGTGATTTCTTTTTTTTTTTGGGGGGGGATCACACCCGGTGATACACAGGGGTTACTCCTGGCTCTGCACTCAAGAATTACTCCTGGCAGTAATAGGATGCTGGGAATCAAGGCCAGGTCAATCAGGTGCAAGGCAAACGCCCTACGCACTGTCCTATCAGTCCAGTCCTATCTATGATTTGAGATTAATTACAATTATACTGTAAAGACACCTCTTTAAGCTTAAAGCTCAGAAAGCTTCTTCTCTAATTTCCAGTGGGATGCAATAAAGTTTGCAGACAAAATCTAATTAAGCTGTAGTTCTCAAAATTTAATGTGTGAGAATCACAAAAAGTATCTAGTTCTGATCACATACACTTAAATAAAGACCAGGGGACTATACTGAAGAGTGGTGTGAAGGAACACTTTGGCAGTGCTCTGGGGGGAAAGGTGGTTAATTAAGAATTACACCTCAAAACCCCTAAGTCTCGAAGACAAATCAACCAACTGGATATGGGCACTGAATATACACTATCTTACATGGAACTGAAATTATTAAATTTTTATTTCCAAAACGCACAAGTTTAAACTGACCACACATTTTTATGTAAAGGTACCATCCACTATAACTTACTGAGGGCACCATCTTGTGGTTAAATAAAGTTACACATTTAAAAAACACTTTAAAGTCACCCTTTAAAATTTTTGGCTGCTAATAGATTTTAACAAACCAGATTTAAAAAATAACTTTAGAAGTTTAAAACTCATGTTTAAGAGAGATCTTGCATATACTGTGGCTGAATTTTAAAAAAAGCTTTTAAAGTTTCTAAATAAAAATGCATATACTTAAGTTAAAAAATATGTCAAGAGTATTCATGAAAGATTTGATCAGTGGTTTCCATATATACATACTACAATAATATAACATGGAAGATAACAAAATTTTATTAGACATAAATTCCTTTATTTACTTATTTATTTGCTTTTTGGGTCACACCAGGCGATGCACAGGGGTTACTCCTGGCTCTGCCATCAGGAAATCACTCCTGGCGGTGCTCAGGAGACCATATGTGATGCTGGGAATCGAACCTGGGTCGGCCGCTTGCAAGGCAGACGCCCTACCTGCTGTGCTATTGCTCCAGCCCCATAAATTCCTTTAATATAGTAAGCAGACAGGCTAAGCTACAATATTCTTTCTGTACACGAACAGTATATCTCACAAATTTCAGAAACATTAAGATAAGATGATGAGACTTTTTAAAATCAAGACCAAAAATTGGGAATAATGGTGGTGGAAAGGTGCAATGTGGTAGGATTGGTGTTGGAATACTGAATGTGACAAAAAAAAAATTATAAAAGGCAATATTAAAAAAAAAAGTTTTTAAGGGCTGAAGAAACAGTACAGTAGGTAAGATACTGCCTTTCAAGGTGCCAACTCATACTTAACCCCAGCATTACATATGGTGCTGTGGAATATTGTGAGAACTGATCCCTGAAAATAGCCTGGTGCAGTCCAAATTTTTAAGTGTTAGGGTTTCTGGGGATCACAGTAGTAGTATAGTGGGTAGGACACTTGCCATGTATGCCGCTTACCTGGGTTTGATACCCAGCATCCTATGTGGTCTCCGAAACCTCACCAGGAATCATATTTAAGACCATTTATCCAAAGAAAATAAACAGCACGCACGCACGCACGCACACACACACACACACACACACACACACATCCTGTAAGATATCACTAAATTTAGTTTATAGGGCAGGGGCTATAGTTCCAAGGGTTGGAGTGTGTGCAATGAGAGACCTAGTTTCTATTTCCCAGCAGAGCACAAATCTCTACCAGGGAAAGATTCATGGGTGTGGTTGAAAAAAAAACAAAACAAAAGCCTAAGAGATACTGTGAGAGCACACAAAATGACTCATCTCTGCATATAAGCTTCAAATGATTAAACTCACCCAAATTATTAGTTCAGGAATAAGATTAGTTATCCACCTGGACTAATCTTAGTATTTATGACAGAAATCAGTCTTACCCTCAAGTCTCCAGTACCCGGAAAGTATTCCCCATACTTATGGAAAGATACAGTCATCACACGATCTGTTGTATAAAAAGCTTCTTCAACACCATCACCATGATGGATATCAATATCAATATATAAGACTCTCTGATGATACCTGAAAATAAAGTTATACATGGATTCAGGAATCTATGTCTGAGCTCTTGTTTAAATTCTGCCTCCAGAAACTAAAATTTAAAATGTTAGAATACAAGCTTCTAAGTTTAAAAGAGTGCTTAATAGCAATTTTAGATCACTGCATATACTTCTCATTCTTAGTTCTATTAAGAATATGGCAAATTTCCTGTACTTAACAGTGGTTTCGAATGAATCCATAAAAGATTCACCATTACTTTTAACCTATCTTTAGTCAACATCGAAAAACGAAAGTCATAATGGGCCCAAGGCTCTATTCCCAACACTGCAAACCAATTGCGAAGCCCCCAAAGTCATAAATCTGTATTGCTTTAATTACAATACATTTCCATAAGAAGATATAACTACAAATTAACTTACTTTAGTAATTCAAGGATGGCAAGCACAATATCATTAACGTAACAGAATCCGGATGCTTCTGATTTCTTAGCATGATGTAATCCTCCAGCCCAGTTAACAGCCATATCAGTTTGTTGTCGGTTTAACTTCACTGCCCCAGCTATGAAACAAGACAGGAAAGACTTAAAATTTAAAAAGTGAGCCCGTGAATTACACAGACTGACACATGCTTTACATACTGAAGAGCTGCATTTTATTTCTAGCACTGCTGGAAGTGACTCCTTGAGCACAAACCTGGGTGTTTCCCAAAACCAAAAAATTAAGTTAAAAAATGTTTAAACATAGGACCAAAGCAATAGAATAGTGGGTAGGGCGCTTGCCTTGTATGCAGCTGACGCAGGTTCAATCCCAAGCACACCATATGGTTCTCTGAGATCACTAAGAATGATCCCTGAGCTCAGAGTTAGGAATAACTGCTGAGTACTGTGAGTTATAGCTAGCCCAAAAAACAAAAACAATAAAATAATTTTAACTAGGTAAGAGTCCTAAAGAAGAGTTTGCTGTAAATAGGCAAAATATAATTATAAATATTAAGGATCACTATCTAGATGACTTTCTCGAGAAAAATATTTTTCTATACCTACGATCTAATTAATAGTATATATAGTCTCAGTAATAATGGAACAAGAAGAGAGGAAAGAAACCAAAAAGTGAAAACACAAAATATTCTTAGGGGGACTGGACTCCCTACAGCAGGTAGGGAGTTTGCCTTGCACGCAGCCGAACCGAGTTCGATTCCCAGCATCACATGTGGTTCCCTGAGCACCTCCAGGACTAATTCCTGAGTACATGAGCCAGGAGTAACCCCTGTACTTCACTGGGTGTGACCCAAAAAGAAAACAAACAAACAAACAAAAATATTCTAAGGGGTTGGGGCTGGAGAGATAATACAGTGGGGAGGGCGCTTGCCTTGTAATCAGCCTCCCCAGGTTTGATCATATGGTCACCTGAGCACTGCCAAGGGTAATTCCACAGTACAGAGCCAGGAGTCACCCCAGAGCATTGCTGCTGGATGTTACCCTCCCCACCACCACCCGAAAAGAAAAAAGAAAACAATGTTTTAAGAGCTAGGAACTTATTTCTTTTTTCAACAGATTAATCCTGAGAATGTTTCTTAATGATAGAGTACATATATCACATGTATGAGTCCTGAGTTTGATGCCCATAACTTCCCCTCCCTCAAAAGTTATGTTCAAAGTGATGTGTTAAACATAAAACATAAGCAGTTTTAAAGACAATCACACAAAACTGGGGGAGGGGGGCAGAAAAAAAGTACCTTCTGTTATTAAAATCCACCTCCATGAATTTTTTCTGCTTCTTTACTGATAAATAATCCAATGAATACAGAGCAAAGTTTGAACAAACTTTCCAAACCTGATTGGATCAGGATACTTACCAACTGAGCCACCGGTTGAGAGCTGACAAAACTCAAAGAGTCCATCAAATACTGGACAATCCTCTCCAACATTAACTGCAAAAAAAAAAAAGGGGGGGGGTCTTGTTGATTTCAACTAATTCTGTTAATTCATGGAAGCTTTCCTTACAAAAATAATTTCATTCCAATGCTTTTTGTTTGATGTAGTCATAGACGCTGGCTTGAAATTTAAAAATACGATCATTTTATCCAGAGTAATTAAAGCTATATGTGAAATGCCACCACCAATTCTTGTCAGGATTTATGGACTATATTAGTAATCAAGAACTTCTTATGAAAGAGCTTTGCTTTTATTACTTTTTTAAAAAAACATAATTTTCTATTTCTTCTCAAATATATGAAAATAATATTTTAATTAAGTGTTGTATACTTTTATAATCTTTTTTAACTTTTTTGTTGTTGTTTTTCGGCCATACCCAGTGTTACTCAGCGATAGCACAGCAGGTAGGGCGTTTGCCTTGCACTAGGCTGCCCTGGCCGGCCCGGGTTTGATTCCTCCGCCCCTCTCAGGGAGCGTGGCAAACTACTCAGAGTATCTTGCCCGCATGGCAAAGCCTGGCAAGCTACCCATGACATATTCGATATGCCAAACACAGTAACAAGTCTCACAATGGAGACGTTACTGAATCCGCTCGAGCAAATCGATGAACAACAGGAGGACAGTGACAGTGACAGTGACTCAATGGTACTCAGAGCTAAATCCCAGCAGTGCTCTGGGAATCCTATAGAAAGTGGGTATTGAACCAGAGTCAGGTCATGCCAAGCGAGCACCTAATCCACTGAACTATCTCTCTGGCCCCTACTTACATTCCCTAACAATACACAGATTATCTATAACTGAAATGTATTTTATTATTAACAAGACAGATCTGGCTGATTAATAAGCCTGTGGTTAACTTTGATATTGAGAGATAGTAAGAGTCAATTCGATGCATGTTCGCCAAGATATAGAAAAGACACTTAAGGTATAGAAAACAATATAGAGATATCTGACAGGTCACATAACATACCTGATGTTTTTCCCCACCTCCCAAATTATAACTTCTTTATGAATAACTGTCATTATTTATGTTTTTTGCATACAACATATTAGTATCATTATGAATATATTTTAGTTTTACTGCTCAGATCTTAATCTTAATACGGCTCGTAATTATATAAAATTTGAATCAGTCCTGTTAATCCATTTGTCCTACAAATATTGAAGTCTTCTGAGTCTTAGAATCTCCACAGAACAAAAATACGTCTTTGAATATTACTAGTTTTCAACAAGAGAACAGCAGAAGTTCACAGGCATGAAAAGGCTGAAAATGATTAATATTATAGCGCTTTTTCATATCAAAGTATAGAAATATGTATGTGATTTTGTGAGTTCTGTGAATGAGTGTCTAATAACTGAACTTTGGTTAATAAAATTTAATCGCAGATTTTCAATAAAAGTATCAATAGAAACACTCATAAGAATGAAGACCAGAGCTGTAAAAAAACCACTTCCAATCATTTCAGATGACATTCTGCATTCTACCTTTAAGCAACCAATTGCTAGCAGTAAAATTATAAATAAGAGCACTACATAGAGAATCAAACTTCAAAAGCATCACAAAGAGAGGCAGATTATATATTTGCATGCAAACTAATGCATACAAATAAAAAAATGACTAACAGTAGGTTTTAATCTTTTTTTTTTTTAAGCAGAAGAATACAGGTATATTATTATCCCGAACTAGTATGAGACCAAAGAGAGCAGAACATGCAAACTGCTCTTTGGCAGGCCTGTACATGGAAGTTTTTTTTAAGTGTAGTCTTAGTATTGTCCCATTACCTTCTCAAAAACAAAATGAAAATACTGTATCAGATCAGGAATAAAACCTAGATTTGGATAAATCAATTTAATAAGTTTCTAAAAATACTCATCAATACTTAATACTAATGTATAAACTTTTAGAATAAAGACGTACATCTTTGCATCTGCTTACTATACTCAGACATGTTATCTGGTCTTATTGAACGTAGAAATTTGATGTATTCATCACTGTGGTATTTTGTCATTTCTTCAGCAGTGGCTTTATGGGGTCTCTGTGAAGAAAAATAAGTATCTGAACTGTGAAATCACAATTGGTTTATCAGAGTAATCAAATGCCAAGCATACAATTAATTCCCTAACAGTCCTCTCCAAAGAGCTTAGACTTGCCCAAACCAAATAGGCAAATTTCAAAAAAAATTCAAACTTATACATATGTTTTAGGAAGCAATAATCAACCCAAAGTCAATTTGTATTCCATTATTTTAAAGACACAGATTTCTTTGATAGTGGTGTTAGTAGTGGAACAACTTTCTATACCAAAATCACAGACAGCACTACTGCAAATCATGCTGTATCAATAACAAAACCTTTTTTAAAGCATTAGATTAACAGCAACTAAGAACTACTCCTTTGTTTTAGCAGAAATAGGTGAACCCTTAGTCAAATCCATATTCAAATTCCACTCATTTTTCATCATTTAGTTTCTGTCCTACAGCGATTTCACCAAATAATACTCTGCTCATCTCATCCATTTGTCTATCATAACAATCCTCATTCCAAAAATTTGTTTCACATATGATAAGCAAATCCCACAAGCTTTCTGTGTAAAAAAACCTTACTCTTTTTTATATATGTCTATATCAAAAAGGAAATAACTCACATTTAATACAACCCCATTTACTGTTGTTTCCACAGCTAAGAGTTGCTGCACTTATATTTATCTATACATACACCCATCTTTATCTACAAAAACATACAAGGCAGTTGTAGTTTATATGTACTCTGCTGGTACAATACAGTGTTCCCATGAAGCAACAGTTTATTTGTAGGCTTAATTTTCCACATAGTTCTTGTTTTAACATCACCTGGCCAACTCTTCAGTAGCACTGAGAACATATTAACTACTTTTAAAACAATATGCTAACTTAAAACTTAAAAGTTTTTCTCCAGAAATTAAGTATTAGGGGTAAGTGAAACTTTGTTTTATGTTTTTGGCTCACACACAACTGTAGCTGTGCTCAGGGGAGTATTTATAGAGCCAGGGATCTTAACAGGGTTAACTGCATGTAGGAAAAACATCTCAACCCTTTGTTTTCTCTCCAACCCAAGAAAACTTTATAAAAGGTTGAAGAGGTGAAAAAGGTAAAAAACAAGTCCCATGTTTTCTTTAAATAAAAAAACCATTTTCTTTCAGACCTTTTCATCTGCTAAATGTCTTTCAAAGAAGTTTCAAGATAGTAAAAAAAAAAGAAAATTGGTGTTAAATATACTTTTATCCAAAAGAATACTCACATATATTTCCATTTTTCTATATAAGCCATAATTTAGCAGCAAGTTATGAGTCATGCGAATTCTATGTGGTTTCATGGGATGACCCTGTCCATAGTAGTAATTTCCAATGTCACCTAAAATAGAAAGGAGACAAATGGATAACACAGACAAGAGAATCTTCATGAAATACAGAATACTGCAAGTTCACCATGAAAAAGCACTGAACATTCAAAATAAGATCTGAAATCCTTAATAATTATGTATTGCATAATTTAAAATAGAAAACTGACTTACATACTTTTCAATATGCTAATTAAATATTAATATTAAATAGGTATTACTATTCTGGGGGACGGAGAGATAGTACAGCGAGTGGGTAAGGGCACTTGCTTTGCATGCAGGCAACCTGGATTCAGTCCTGGCACCCTGGATGGTCCACAAGTTCTGCCAGGTGGGTAAGGGCACTTGCTTTGCATGCAGGCAACCTGGATTCAGTCCTGGCACCCTGGATGGTCCACAAGTTCTGCCAGGAGTTATCCTGAGCACAGAGCCAGGAATAACCCCTGAGCATCACCAGGCCCAGCCCAAGAATAAAAACCAAAACAAATAAAAATAGCATTTTGAACCATTCGTGACTTGAAAGTTACAGTTCCTAGTTTTTTAATGACATCTTTTACACAGTGACTTGAAATTCATGCAACAGATTTTTAAACAGGGGCCAGAGGGATAGTACAGCAGATTGGGCATTTGACTTTAATGCAGCTGGCCTGGGTTAGATGTCAGGCATCCCATATGTCCCCAAGCACCACCAGGAGTAATTCCTGAGTGCAGGACCAGAAGTATTCCCTGAGCATGAACAGGTATGACCAAAAAAATTTTAAAACAAAACCAAAATACTATTTTAATATACCAAAATCTAATGAAATGAGTATTTAGCGCAAACCTGTAGTGTTTCTATAATAAAAAGTGACATTAAAAAAGAAAACTGAGGGCTAGGTAGACAGTACAGTGGGTAAGATGCTTGCCTTCCAAGAGGTTTACCTAGGTTCGATCCTCAGTATCTCATGAGCACTGCAGGAGTAATTCCTGAGTGCAGAGCCAGGAGTAACCCAGAAAGAAAGGTGGAGAGGCAGCGTCAGTGAATAGAGAGGGGGAGAAGAAGAAAGGGTGAGAGGGAGAGGGGGAGGGAGGAAGGGAATGAGGGAAGGAAGGAAAAAGGGAGGAGACGCGATCAGGGATCAGCAGAGTACTTGCAAGTAGGTGTGGGACCCTAGTTCAATCTCTGGCACCACCAAAAACAAAACCCCAAAAAATATGTATTAAGAAAGCATCCTAAATTGATACTATTTTTAAAAACATAATTTAATGGACACTTTTTTTTTGCTTTATGGGTCACACCCAGCAATGCTCAGGGGTCACTCCTGGCTCTACACTCAGGAATTACTCCTGGCGGTGCTTGGGGGACCATATGGTGCTTGGGGGACCATATGGGATGCCGGGGATGGAACCCAGGCCGGCCGCATGCAAGGCAAACGCCCTAGCCGCTGTCTATTGCTCCAGCCCCAATTTACTGGACACTTTTAAGAACTGTATTAAATTAGAAATTTCTAGTCTTTGGATAATCCTTTTATTTTCCACCATCAAGATCAATTTAACTTTTAAAAATTCTGCTTACATACACATTTTTTGGGATGGGTCACACGTAGTGATGCTCAGGGGTTACTCCTACTCCTACTCAGGAATCACTCCTGGTAGTGCTCAAGGGACCATATGGGATGCCAAACCCAGGTTGGCTGCATGCAAGGCAAAAAAAAGCCCTCCCTGCTGGATTATGGCTCTGGCCCCCACATACCACACGTTTAAAACTCTGTTTAAGCTAGAAAACTTTTTTCCTATATATTTGATAATCACCCAAGATGAATATTCATTTCTTGCCACACAAACACCACCATTTGACTTTGTTGGTGTTACACTTCCTACTTTACTCATTTTCAACAAGTTCTCTTTTGAAAACAATTTGTATACACAGTCATTTAAAGGGAAAGTCATCTCAGTGGAGAAGCCAACAACAAAGTTTAGACAAAACACAAGGAGGAAAGCAGAGCTATGTGGCTATAGCTAGCTACTACCAAGCTCAGTAACAGGTGGCAGTACAGTTTCTTCAAAGAACTCAATGAATTTTTAGACATACAAAGTTCACTAGAGTTACACAGCATCATTTTCAAGATAAGGAAAATAACTGCTATCACTGACAAAGGACAGCATGAGTGTGAGAGTAAAGAAGCTCTAGTCTTCACATAGTTTCTTCCACTATTTAAGAATTACCGAGATGAACTGTCTTTTTTATTTTGGAGTGGGATAGCAGCATTTAACATATTATCAACTACATATTAGGAAGTACTAAGTATTTCTTAGATTACTTATTAATCTTAACAACCCCATGATACAGATATTAAAGAAAATAAAGATATGAAACTCCTTATTCATCAAAGTAACGCACTCTGAAATTCTCAATTTTGTTCAATATATATATAGCTTTCAATATTGTTTTGGCTACAATTTAGGGGCCCAGTCCCACCAAAATAATGCAAACTTAACAGTCTATTCTGTATTGCATCACCCTGCCTAAAACTGTAGTTCCAATCTACCAAGAAGTTTCAATAGATTTAATCTGAAACTTCCTTTTAAAAAAAAGTATCCACTTCTTTTTAAAATAAAAACTGTATGATTACTTGATACCATATTTTTAAATATTTCAAGCAGAAAGGGATGGACCACACCTGGTGGTGTTCAGAGGCTACTTGATTCCTGATGCTGTGCTCAAGAGTGATACCTGGTGTGGCTCAAGGGACCATAAATGACAAACGTCATACCTCTTGCACCGTCTTCTCCAGCAAGTCCAGTTCTATCGATGATGACACGAATTGTTTTGTTTTGTGTTATTGGGGGGCAGGAGGCATACCCGGCAGTGCTCAGGAGTTATTCCTGGCAGGTTATTCCTGACTCTGTACTCAGAAATTCCTTCTGGAGGTGCTCAGGGGGCCATATGCAATGCCAGGAATCAAACCGGGGTAAGCAGCATGATCCCTCTCTACCCACTGTACTATATCCCGGCTCTAGGACCCTGGGACAAAAGCAGCCCTGAGCCTCTTCCTCTTTGTCCCCAACGCTGTGCTGGTCTTCTTCCTCTCCCAGCTAGTACCCCCCCAGGCACACACCAGGTTGCCGTGGAGGCGTGGCCTCTTTAGGGGTGGGCGTGGCCTAATTTCGGGCCAGCTGCTGCTCAGGCAGCCGCAGATAGTTTGCTCATACCAAGAAATTTCCTGTGACATCTCAGTTCTCATACCTACACACCAACATGAAGAAACAACGCAAATCCCCACCACGCGGGGACGAAGATGAAAAGAATCCAGAAGCCTCTGAAGGGGCTACTCACCTAAAGGACCTCTCTGAGAAAGAATTCAGATATGAAGTCGTGAAGATGTTCAATGAACCCACTGTACTATCCCAACTGTACTCCCCACCCCCAGCAAACATTAAATTTTATATAAACAAGCATTTGATTACTGCTTTCAGTCTTTTATCAGACCATCTATTACAATGTTTTTCTTATTAACACTTATCTCCACTTAAACAAGTTTTAATGTTCTCCAAGACAGGCCCCACCTGGCCCACGTCTTTCTACTGGCTTCCTACCTGGTTAGCACTGCACTGCACTGTCCCCCCATTGTTCATCGATCATTGTTCATCGATCTGCTAGAGCAGGTCCAGTAATGTCTCCATTGTGAGACTTGTTGTTTCTGTTTTTGGCATATTGAATACATCATGGGGAGCTTGCCAGGCTTTGCCATGCGGGCATGATACTCTCAGTAGTTTGCTACCGAGTAGGGCTCTCAGAGAGGGACGGAGAAATTGAACCCTGGCCAGGTCGGCCTCGTGCATGGTAAACACCCTACTGCTCTTGCAGTTTGCAAGGTTTTTTCCAGAAATTCTTAAGGGTTATTAACACATTTTCTTCCTTCTGAGTTCCCTTTGTCTTTGAGAACTCAACAAAGGTCCTGTTACTCTTTTACAGTTATTTATTTCCTTATTAGGCTGGAGGATAGCACAGCCAGTAGGACATTTGCCTTGCACATGGCCAACCCGCATTCGATTCCTCTGCTCCTCTTGGAGAGCCTGGCAAGCTACTGAGAGTATCTTGCCCACATGGCAAAGCCTGGCAAGCTCCCCATGGCATATTCGATATGCCAAACACAGTAACAATGTCTCACAATTTGTTGTGAGACGTTACTGGTGCCCGCTGGAGCAAATTGATGAACAATGGGAGGACAGACAGACAGGACAGATTAGGCTGTTAAATAGTCTTTCGTCTACCTGGCATAGAGTAGGGACTTTAATAAAGCCATGTGACATTTCTGAACCTAAATTTCCTAAGTAAAATACAAGCTAGGTGCTATAGAAAGAGAACTAGAATTTATTAACCAGTACAAACATCTTTATACTTGAAATTTTAAGTGTGATCTCATCCATGTTTTAGTTGTCATTCCCTAAGAGAGTATTAGGCATTCATTCCTCTGAAATGTTTCCTTTAAGGATTTCTCAACAGAAGCATTTCAAATTTTTGTTTAAGGAAGTATTTAATGATACTATTTTTGTAGCACACACACGATTTTTTTAAGTAGTGAAAATAATTCAACCCTTGAGCTATCAACGACAGTAGCAATCTTGTAATACCAATCTTTAGATATTAGGTGCTCATCTCTCCTTGAACATAATCCTAGCTAATATAGAAAAGGGAGCTGAAACAATAGTATAGTGGGTTAGGCATTTGCCCTTCATGTGGCTGGCCCAGATTCGATCTCCAGCATCCCATGTGGTTCCCCAAGCACCACCAGGACTGTTTCCTGAGTGCAGAGTCAAGAGTAACCCCTGAGCATTGCCAGGTGTGGCCCCAAAAGATAAAAAAAGAAAATGCATAGAAAAGGCAGTAAATGATGGATTTTGAGCCAAACAAGGATAAAATCCATTTACATGTCTAATTCAGAGTCGTTATGAAAATTAGGGAGAATGTTATATGATCACTTATCACTGATTTGATCGATAAGTTTAAAAACATAATTTTTAAAAAAATGGCAATATAAACAGAAGGTAGAAAGATTACCCCCAAAAAGCATATCATATGTTCTAGTATAAAAAAAAAAAACAGAGTTTTACATATATATAAGAAAGGGAGAAAGGTAACAATGGGATTTAAGGTAACAGGACAAAGCCTCTGATACAGTGGGTAAAACTGTAAAGAAGTCATTGATAACACCAAGAGAATGAAATCCAAATAATGAGAAAAATGCTGTCTTATTTTGGAAATAGGACTCTAATATAAGTAAACAACAATGTTCAATTTATAAACTGTGCTTTAATTTGTAGAGCACTCATTTACACCCAAAGAAATGATTCCCTGCTTTATAAATAAGATTTCAAGTACAACTAAGAACCTAAGCAGTTTAAGTCCTATCTAGCAAAAGACTGCCAATCAGAAATTTTTAAACTTAGGTGTATACTAGGAAACAGGATCTTATTAACATATAGAAGGAATGAAAAGTGCTTTTCTCTGAACACGTGTCTCCATTTTGTTGTTCCCTATCAGAGTGAGAAAAATAGAGCACACATTAATATACCAAGTATGGACACAACCACATATATCATAACCATCAACCAGAAATTAAATATCTTAAAAGCTTAATTCAAAACAAAATATACCTAACATCTTTAGATGAAAGATTAAAAATATGAGTTTTGTAAGCAGGACCTAACAGTTTGGTGTGCTAATTTACTCTAAAATAGACAATAACATTTAAAAAGTCAGAAGACCACTTGCAAGCCAAGTGCCCAAACCTTTGCATCATCTCTCTGTCTCTTTGAAGTCAGAAAGGATTCTCAGTGAAAACTGCATTTTATAGATTATTGGTACAGTGCATACAAGAAGATATAAGATTCTACACACAAGATGATCAAGATTTTGAAGTATGTTTTGGGAAGTGCTGAAGGCAGAAGTCAAAAGTTAAAAAAGAACTACTCCTATTTCCACAAGGTTTAAGGATACCTCAATCTACTGATACCTGTAAATTAATTCACTTGGAACCAGAATTCCAGTGACTCCAGTAAAGGGTGTAATACTAAAGACTACAAAGTACATGAAGAAAAATACTTGAGACATTTCTTTCATTAGAGATATGTCTTGGATAGAATGTGTCTAATGATTTACAAGTCAATTTCCCTGATTAGAGAATTTGCTACTCCTTCCTTCCCCTGTACCTTTACCTTTTTTTGGGGGGGGGGTCACACTTGCAATGCACAGGGGTTACTCCTGGCTCTGCACTCAGGAATTACTCCTGGCGGTGCTCAGGGGACCCTACGGGATGCTGGGAATCGAACCCAGGTCGGCGGCGTGTGCAAGGCAAACACCCTACATGCTGTGCTATTGTTCCAGCCCCTCCCTGTACCCTTCTTTTACCAAGTAAAAACCGTCTAATTGCTGATATCCACAAATTTTCATTTTGAGGGAGTCTCCCAACCAGTTCTCTGAGGGTCTGGGGCCACGTCCTACAATACTTGCCAAACAACAGGGCCACACAGTCAAAGGTTACTTGGGCCCAACAACTTTTTTGGTCACATCCTGCAGCGCTCAGGGTTTGAAGTAGGCCAGACTCTGGCAAGACAAAGGCCCTACTGCTGTACTACTGCTCTGACTCCAGGCCCAACAGTTTTAGGGGTCCCCAGCACCACACCCCTCAGTGTTCTTGTAGGTCAAGCAGGGGCCCAAGATTCAACTTGGATCCTGTGCAAGGCAAGGCCCCTAAATTCTGACTTAAATAAATAAAAATTTATGCAGAAGCTACTTTGCTTGAACCCTCACAAAGTAAAAAGAAGAAAAATTACTATTGCTACCTTATAATAAACTGACAAAAGAGGGTCTTTTGGAAAATGAAACTAGGTTTTTGGAATTGTAAAGTTTAGCAAAGTAATATCGACTTACTTATAATTTGCTGGAGTGATAGCACAGCGGTAGGGAGTTTGCCTTGCACGCAGTCAACATGGCCGACCCGAGTTCGATTCCTCCGCCCCTCTCGGAGAGCCTGGCAAGCTACCGAGAGTATCTTGCTCTCACGGCAGAACCTGGCAAGCTCCCCGTGACGAATTCGATATGCCAAACACAGTAACAACAAAGTCTCCAATGGAGACATTACTGGGCCCGCTCGAGCAAATCGATGATCAATGGGAGGGCCTTTACCTTTACCTTTTACTTATAATTAACATTACTACCTACCTAGCATAATCTACAAAAGTACATTTCCCCCTAAATAACCCAAAGATTTTTTTAAATACAAGCTACTGAAAATTTCAGTCTGAAAAGAAATCATAGAATAATCAAATATTTGCGAACATTTAGTTATATAACTAGTTGCTAAAGTAGCTAGCTGAGTGTCTACAATAAAGTTTCAGCTCACAGCTAAAACTTTTCCACTCTGCCTATCAAGTCTTCAGCTTGCCTTTAGGAACAATGTCTGGATGCCATCCTGTCAACTAAGGCCCATCATAAATGGGCCTGCAAACATACCACCACCACTTAAATATCTCCTGGTGGCCCAGTTCAGGTCTGGTGAAAAAAAGAAAAGTACTTTATCTCTTAGCCTACCAGAGTGTCAAAGCAAGCGCTGCAGAGAAAGCTGCAGCACCAGGTTGTCCAACCTTTGAAAAAACTTTCTCCTTTAGCCCAAGCACTGACAAACCTCTAAACCTTAAACAATATCCTTTAATATATATATATATATATATATATATATATAAGCTGACACAAGGCTATTTACTGGAAAGGTTTTTGCCAGTGACCCCAAAATATGCCACAAACTCCGAAATTAGAAACTTTTAAGAAAGTGAATCCATGTCAAAGTTACAACGTACTCCATTTCCTTCTCTCTACCCTTCAAAAATGGCATACTCTCCAAATCACTCTGCATGATACATAAATGTGGCCCTCTTAAAAAAATATTTTTAAAATACAATTGCTAGGGGGCTGGAGCAATAGCACAGCGGGTAGGGCATTTGCCTTGCACGCAGCCAACCCGGGTTCGATTCCCAGCATCCCATATGGTCCCCTGAGCCTGGGGTGATTCCTGAGTGCAGAGCCAGGTGTAACCCCTGTGTGTGCATCGCCAGGTGTGACCCAAAAAGCAAAAAAAAAAAAAAAGATTGCTAATACTAGCTACCAAACGTTCATTTCAATTTCTCATAAGATAATAATTTTCACAAATGACACAAGCAGCTAGTCATTTTTATATAACAGATTCAATGATTACCATAAAGATACACCGCATGACCATTTTCAGATTAAACTCGTATTTACCTGACTTTATGCTCAAAAATCTTTTTCCCCATCTCTAAGGTTTTGTGATTTTACAATTACAACTAAGGAAACCAACCTCAAACATTTGTATGACTATGCGCAAAATGGGAACTTGCATGTCCTTAAGACTAGCTCCTTGGTGATATTTTAAGAATTCCTTCTTTGGTGTGTTAACCAAGTAGAAACTCTAGCGAAGTTAAACGTTTTTGCAGCAATCTACGAAACAGGCCACTAGTCCATTTGTCACCACTGACAGTGGCACCGAAAACTGAATTTCATGAAAAAATCTCCAAAAAAAAAAAAAAAAGCCAACGAGAGAAGCACCAAAACGAGCTGCTCCGCCTCTCGCAAATTCACTGTACCTTGCTTGAGCTCACTGGATGATGGGACTACTTCTGCACTAATCCTCAAAGTTTTCCCACTCCAGCGTGGAGTAAACCTGGAGTTTCTGCGGCCGTGCACCCCCCCCAAACCTGGATGCACTTCCAGACCGAGCAAACCGCAACAAAGAAGTGGGTGGCAACCACCTCTCACCGAGGCAAGCCAGGACACATCGAGTTCCACCCGAGCACGCTCGCACCCGCAGCTCCCGCGCCTCCCCAGTGCCGATTCCCCTTCGGAAACGGGGAGGGGGGGGGAGAGGGAAGTAACAACCGCTCACAACACCCCCCCCCCCCCCACACACACACACCGAGCCCCTCCGGGACCCCGTGCCTGGTCACTGAATCCGAGGAAAGTGACGGCTTACGAAACCCGGCTAACAAAGGCGAGGGCTGCACCCCCGCTGCACAATCCGGGGACAGCGTGCCCCACGGGCCTGGACCTGGGATTCCCCCCCTCCCCCCGCTCTGCAGCCCCGATCCAGGTGGAGGGGGTCCGTGGTGAGCCTGGCCGCGGGGGAAAAAGCACCAGCTCGGGCCGCGGGAGCCCCCAGGGGCAGGGAGGGGACCGAGCCGGGATGGAAGGAAGGGAAGGGGCCAAAGGGGTGGAGCTCCCGCGGTCGCGGGGCTTTGTGTGTGCAACCGAGCTGGCTCGGCGTTGGGCCCCGGGAGGCCCGAGCCGGGCGCACCCCCCTACCACTCACTCTCCGCGCCCACGGGGGGCGGGGCGGGAACTCGAGAGCGCGCGCGACCCCGTGGCCACAGACCCCGCGTCCGGCTAGGCCGGGGCAGCGGCGGCGGCGGCTGGTCGCGCGGCCCGAAGAGCGCGGGTTGCAGGGGGAAAGGCCAGGCGGACCTCCCCGCTGCGGCCCGCGCAGAGTCGGCGGGGAGCTCTCCCCCGCCCCCCACCACCGACCCCCTGCAAGCGTCGGGTGGGGAACGGGTTAAGAAGCGGCCAAACGTCAGTCCCTCCTCCTTCCCCACCCCTCAGCCCCGGCGCCCACTCGCGACGGCGGCCTGGCTCCCACGGCTGCCCGCCCGGCCTCCCGCCCGCCCGGGCTCTCACCATCATAGTAGTAGCAGACTTTCTTCTTGCCGCCTCCCTGACTGTACGCCATGGGCTCCCCGGCCACCGCCGCCTCCCGGCTTGGGCTATTCCGGCTACTGCCGCCGCGGTTCAGCGGGGAGATTAAAAAAAAAAAAAGTGGGGGGGGCGCTGGAGCAGAGGTGGAGGGGTCAGTCCCGCGGGGAAGAAAAGCAGGCGCCGGAGCAGGGAGGGGGGGAAAGGGGGCAGCGGGAGGGCTCGGAACCGCCCGGCCGAGGGGCCGAGAGCGCAGAGCGGGGGGTGGCAGCGGCGCCAACTCGCGACACTGGGGAGGGGGAGGGGGCGGCCAAACCACCTCCGGAGGCCGAGGGGAGATGGGACGGAGCCACTGCAGCCGCCACGGGGGGAGGGGAGGTACAACTCGAGGAATACGCTTTCAGGAATCTTGACAAAAGAGGTTTAAAAAATAAAAACGGACTCTGATAGAACGACGTCAATCCTAGTAGTAAACAGGAAAAAAGGGAGGCAAGCTCTTTATAAGTGGGAAAAGCGTGGAGCCTGGTGGACCTCTCCCCCTCTGTGTTTGAGCATAGTGGTAGAGCCCATCCCGAGCATGCGCAGTCGACTCATCCCAACCGTAGCCGGGGCCGCCCAGACCCCCTCCGCAGCGTCCCACGCCTCTCCCTGCCCCCACTGTCGCGACGCTCCCGCCCTGCCGACCACGTGCCACGAGCCGGGCGGGGAAATATACCACCCTCGCACCCCTTCCGGCCCCCACGAGCCCTCCAACCTGCAGCCCACAACTGCTACGGGGGTTTTCATTTATTCTTCTGATTATTGCTCCGAGGTTCTGACCTCCCACGGGGACCTATTACAGACTTTAACTTGTGAAATGTACTGCCTGGCTTTGAATGAGCATTTCTGTGAACAACTCGATTCTAAGTACTTGCATTTATAATGTATCCCGTTGATACCCGCTTATAATAGATACTTGTTAAGATATTTGAGATAACCCCACTCTCCCCAAGAGCATTATTATTATTATTATTATTATTATTATTATTATTGCTTTTTAACTAAGTAAGAACATGTAGGGGAACTGGATCCTTTCATTGATGGTCTGGGGTTTAAATTCTTCAAAATTCTTCTTAAAGTCTTCAAAATCTGCAACAAACTACTCCATGCCGCTGCTGCTGCTGCTGCTGCGGCGCGCTGGAAAATTGGAGCCGGAATACTAAGAGAAAGGGAGTTATAAATGCTGTGTTCCTGTGTTAAAGACCACAAGCAGTTATCAAGCTCCTAACTCAAAGCCTTGCAAATGAAGGAGTGGAGAATTAACACTATGCAATGCTGTACTTTTGTCCTAAATTTATTATTTACAATTGTCCCCAAATATACTCTCCCTCACCGGCATACAAAACTAGTGGGCTTTAATTTAAAGCAAGGGCCTTTTGGTTTCTATTGCTATTTGATTTCCATCAAACTCCTCAAGATTTCAATCCTTAAGCAGCAAATTTCCTGAACCTCACCCAAAAGAAATTTAGAGAAAGTAATTTCAGTGGAGCCCTCCTCCCCCACCCCACCAATGTTTTTTGTTTGTTTGGTTTTGGGCTTGGGGAGGTCACACGGGAGGTGCTGAGGGATTACTTACTCTAAACTCTGCTCAGAAATTGCTCAGGAATTACTCCAGGCGGTGATGAGGGAACCAAACAGGAGTAAACCTTATGCAATGCCCCACCCATTGTACTATTGCTCTGTCCCCACCCGGTTTTTTGTGTTTTTTTTTTTTAACAGGCACTCCAGGTTTCTGGTGCAGTTCCTACTGGAACATTGGCGAAACAATGAGTCAGAGTCAAGTTAATTACATATAGTGAGGTTCAGAGTTTTGTTCTTTCAATTTCCAAATACATGTGATAGATTTTTGAGAGCAGAATAAGTTCGTTCTTCTGAAGAAGCAAATGGTATTCTAAGAGCCAGCTGAAGGAAACCTGACATGGAAGTCTTTTCACTTTGGGAAGATTTCTCAGACTTTTTCTTCTGCTTCTCCCTCTCCCAGCAAAACGTCTTTCTGCCACTTTGCCCGGTGGTTGATGTAGACCCTTCTAGCCCAGCTTGATTTCCTTGGTCACAGTCTTCCAAAACTTCACTAAACACTTGACTTGGAACAGTGTGACTTGAGAGAAGGGGCCGAACTATGGCTGTGCTTCCTTTGACTTAAGGCCAGTTACTTTTTGTGTGCCTGAATTGCTTTATCAGTCAAATGAGGCAGTGTTGCTTAGAGAGTAACTGCTCAGATGAATGTCAAGTAGCTCAAATGAGAAAATTAAAAATTTATCATCAAAGAATCAAATCATTATTCAAATAAGAAAATTAAGTTTCTTTAATATTTTAATTTTTAAAAATTTCGAGTGAAATATCAAAGTAATTGAAGCAATAAATTAATATTAGAATATTTATTCTTATTTATTATTTATTATTAGTTTGCTGCAGGTTGACTTTAGGTTGACCTTGTGACCACAGCGGGTAGGGCGTTTGCCTTGCACGCAGCCAACATGGCCGACCCGAGTTCGATTCCTCTGCCCCTCTCGGAGAGCCCGGCAAGCTACCGAGAGTATCTCGCCCGCACGGCAGAGCCTGGCAAGCTCCCCGTGACGTATTCGATATGCCAGACACAGTAACAACAAAGTCTCCAATGGAGACGTTACTGGGCCCGCTCGAGCAAATCGATGATCAACGGGAGGGCCTTTACTTTACTTTTTTACTTATTTATTATTAGAATTAGATGGGCTGGACACGTAATGAGATTTGGAGACGACTGCTGGACTAGAGCCGTTACCGACTGAATTCCACAGGACGTCAAAAGATTGCGTGGCGGCCTACCTACAAGATGGTCAGACTTCTTCGTCAAGACCCTAAACGATCGGTTTGAGGCACTTCATGCTCCTAGAACAAACAGACGCCTTTGGGCTACACTAGCACTCGACAGGGACGAATGGAGACATTACTGGCACCCGCTCAAGCAAATCGATGAGTAACAGGAAGTCAAGTGATCAAGTGATATGCAACAAAGAACAGTAAAGTGGTCAGGGAAATAACCCAGAGGATTGGGGCACAACACATAACTGGCATGCATAGGGCTAGGTTTGATCCCAGCGCTGCCTGGTCTCCCTAACATTGTCTAGTGTAGCCCTTGTAGCTGCTAGCGCCACTAAGAAAGCCCCCCCAACACAAAACAGCAATAACAGAAAAAACTATGCAAATATAATAAATTATCATTATTATTTTAATGGTAGTCATAATAATTTTTACTGCTTGCATCCATAGCCTTAAACTTGAAAGAAGAACCTGAATATGGATTTTGACTGCATGAGCAATTTGTTTTTTCTTTTTCTGTTATTTTTGGTTTAGGTTTTGGTTATTTGGCCATGCCCGCCATACTCAGGGCTTACTCGTATCTCTGTGCTCATAGACCGTTCCTGGTGGTGCTCCAGGGGCCATATGAGGTGTCAGGGATCAAATTTGGGTCAGCCACTTACAAGGCAAGCACCCTACCTGCTGTACTATCCCTCTCAACCCGAATGAAGAACTTGTTATGCGGCTTATTACTTCATGATTTTAAACCAATAAGTGAAAATTTGCGGGCAGGCAAGATACTCTCGGTAGCTTGCCAGGCTCTCCAAGAGGGATGGAGGAATCGAACCCGGCTTGGCCGACCTCGTGCAAGGCAAACGCCCTACCACTGTGCTATCTTTCCTTTAGAAACTGGCATTGGAGCTTTATCGAGTAGTAAGAGCTGGCATAAGAATTGTGTTCCTAGGAGCCCAGTGATGTGGCTCAGTAGCAGGGCACCTCCCTTACAAGTGTGACGACAGTTGTTCAAAGTTCAACATGAGTTGCCAAGTACTGTCCTGTCAGCATTGCCTTTGTGAGCCTGGTGCCACAAGTGTGCACCCCTCTGCAAGAATCACAACCAGGTGTGTGTGCAAACCCAGGCACTACAACAGGAAGGGAAGGGGGCGGGGAATCAAAACAGATGAAAGAATGATATTCCTAAACACATATAACAAACTTTAGATCAAATGCATTATCAGAAACCAAGCTCCAGACTTTATTCACCATGCTTAATATTCCTCTCTATCAGACCTTTATAAGCATTAGAAAATGGAAGTTTTATAAGCACCACCAGGAGAGATTCTTGAGTGTAGAACCAGGAATAACTCCTGAGCACCTCTGGGTGTGGCACCAGGAAAGAAAAAAGAAAGAAGAAACAAATGGAAGTTTTAGACAATATATAGTAGAAGTGAGCAAGTTGAGAGCATGATTATAGAAGGTAAGAGTATGATTGTAGAACAAATAAGTGAGATCAATTAATTTAAACTTTCTAAATTTAGTTTCTGTGCTATAAGTACGGACTTAACTTTTCTTAAATCCTTTTTCTTTTCTTCTCTTATTTTGAGGCGGACCCCTTCACCAGTGCCTGGGACCATTATCGCCAGAGATGCTTGGGAAGCCATAAGGTACTAGGAATCTAACCCTGGCCCTATGCATAACAGACAGGTATTCCAGTACTTTTGTTGCAGAAATTCTCACTGGGAGCCAGTGAAGAACCATGGGGCATGCTCTGATTGTTGAGCAAACTCAGCTTTATCACACTGGGCAGACTCCACTGCCTCTGATAGTTCCTCTTCATCTACTGTTTGAAATGTAGGCAGGGCTCTATATTCCTCAACACTTTGAGTATCTCCCTGTCTCTATTTATTATTATTTCTTTTAATCTTGAAGATATTTGGTATTTTCAGATTATTCAGTGAAAGGATCTGTAAAAAAGACAGATTATATTGAAAAACAAGACCATTTTGAAAACAGTTGCCTCAGTTTATGCTTAAAATGAAACCCTGCTACCAAATAATTTTTATAAAAGAATTATTCATATTCTAGCCCAGCAAGCTACCGAGAGTTTCTCGCCTGCACAGCAAAGCCTGGCAAGCTACCCATGACGTATTCATATGCCAAACACAGTAACAACAAGCTCACAATGGAGACATTACTGGGCCCGCTTGAGCAAATCAATGACCAACGGGAGGACAGTGTTACAGTGTATTTCTGCTCCAAGTAAATTTAGATTTGTTTGTGTATATTTCATGGAGCAATCCTATAAGATTATAAGAGAAGTAGAGAAATATAATGTCTAACATCAGGATGTTATCATAAATTTAAACAGTCTCAAGCTGAATTCTGATCTCTTTGGAAGCATGGTGCCTATTTTCACACAGTACTCTACAGCTGTAACTCATAAATCTGAACAGCAGCACCAAATAATGAAAGATTATAGTGCTATCTGAA